AACCACTGAAACTCATTTCCTCCCTCCTGCCATCTGTCCTTCTGTGTCCTCAGATTGCATCCATGTCAGGAGCTTGCAAAGTCTTGAAGCTAAAAGCAGTTAGCAAAGCACAAAGTTAGACTCATCTAAGTCCATGTGTTTTCCTGTTAGGAGCCATAGCTCTACAACCGTAGACATTCTAGCAGGAATCTAAAATGGATCTCACATCAGGAGAATACACTTTTGAATACAGTCCTGCCACAAAAATGAGGCATCTAAGGGGACACGTGTCGCCTCTTCAGAGGGTTGTGTATTCAAGCTTCTGTTTGAAGGGTGGGCAGGCAGCCTTACCTTTAGGCCTGACTAGCCCCCATCCCACAAACTCTTCTTTCTCCCCTGCCGTGGATTTCCCTGAAAGCAGAGAGTTCTCTGCTTGGGAATATACACGGCTTCTGAGACGCAGCAGTGGAGGAATTTGGTTCCTAATTGGGCAGGAATGGTGTCTAACTCATTATCATTCCCCTACTGCATCTAACATGGTGCCTTGCATGGAGGAGATTTATTGAGAGAAGAGAACACCTGTGCATACAGAATCAAACATTCCCATTTTTACCATAATTAGCTCACAAATTGAGCATCCAAATTTACCCAGTGTATTTGCACGTGTAATTAGCTATGATTCATGGCTAAAGCTGGGCCTATTATGGTGTATTATGCTATTTTACAAATCAAATTCCTGAAAGCTTATGTTTTGGGCAATCACTGCCAAAAAAGCAAAAAAAACAAAATAACGTGGATTATTTGTATGAAATGAAAAAAAAAAGAGGCCTGGCGTTATGCTGAACGAACGCTTACATTTGAAAATAGCATTAGTTGAAGCGAAGGTCCTAGCTTCAGTCTGAAGCAGGTAGTTGCCCATGGTTTGAAAGGAGAAATTTCCATGGGAATAAAGGAATATTTCGCATTTTAAAATCATCTTCTCAAGAATATCTTTTCGTTCTTAAGCCTCAAAGGTATTATTTCTCTATAAATAACAAATTTAGAAAGGCTTTGTTCGTTGACTCAGGTTTCTTCCTCACCTGCTTGATCAGGGTCCATCTGTGAGTTCCAGGCAGCCTGCGCAGAGAGCCGAGAGAAGGCTTGCCTTGCATACAGCGTTCCAGGGGCCATTTGGGCTGGGACTCAACGACTGAGTATAAGACAGGGACAGTCCCATCCTGGCTGTGCCTGTTCCCAGGAGAGACAAATGAGCTCTGTGCTCTCACTAGGGTTTCGGGCTCAAGGGGCCAGAACTTCTGAGAAAGCAGATTGCCTAGAGCTCTTCTGCGGGTCTGCTTCCCACAGCCTCCCTCTGACTGCATCCACTTTGTCCTCTGTGGCTCTTTTCCCATTTCAGCCCTTCTTTTAGAGGCCCCCCAACCCTCCTGGTCTCTCCTCGTCCCCTTGTCAAAAACCTGATCTTTGGAAAGACTTTGCTATTTATGATCATTGAGCCTTCCATGGGATTTGAAGAATGTTCAAAGCCTTGATTTACTCAGCAGATACTTATCTTGTGCGGAGGTGGCAGGCATCATCATCACAAGTAAAGACAAGTCCGTGAACCTCAGAGTGTTTAGCACCTAGAGGGGGCGATGGGTGAGTTGATACCAAGACCCCTGGAAAGGTAGGCTAGCAGGATGGCTGAGGGCCAGCTCTGTATCTGAGTCGCCTGGATCTTAGAGCTAATTCCGTGTGCAAGTGGAAGGTTTTGTCTAGACCAGGGGCCTGAAAACTATGAGCTCTGGACCAAATCTGTCCCACCACCTGATTTTGTGAGGTAAGAATGGTTCTGACCACCTTAATTCGTTATGTTCTAAATAGTTATTTAAGTAGCCACATAACAGCCTCAATTTGGTCTACAATATTGGCTGTCTGGCCCTTTACAGAAGAAGTTTGCCAAGCCCTGGCCCTGACCAACACTGTCTAATAGAACTTTCTACAGTGATGGAAAATGTTCCCGTATCTGCATGCTCAAATACGGTAGCCATGAGCCTGATGTGACTTTGAGCCCTTGAAATATGGTTAGTGTGACTGAGGAACTGAATTTCAAAATTGCACTTAATTTTAATTCATTTAAGTGTAAACAACCGCATGTGACTGGTGGCTATCACAATGGCCAGAGCAGCTTTAGACCATTTAAGTCTAAAGATTCTGTATTCTCTCAGCGTTCTTCTCTCTGAATTTAATCAACTTCCCAGAGGCTGTCTGAGTCAAGAGGAAGGCAACACTCTTAATCAGATTTTTTGGGCCCTGGACTGGCGTTCACTGTCTGCTAGAAAATGCTTAATGGAAAGTGCTCGAAAAATGCATGAGAGCATACACTTACTTCCTCTTCAAGCTGTATCTGTGACATCTGCTGTTGTTTGGGGTAAGGCAGTTGGCTTTTTCAACCCCACAAGGCCCCAAATTAAGGAAGTCTTAATCATCTTTAGAGTTTAGGCTGCAGGCAGAGAAAACCTCACTTAGCAAAGCTATATTTCCTTCTATCCCTGCTTGCAGAACTGGAGCTAAAGTTAGCCTCCCATTCCTGCTAGGCTAACTTCAGCCCTATAGGTCATTTCTCTCATAAGATTGCCTAGGACAAGAAGAAGTCATCAACACATGCCATCATTATGAATATTGTCAAACCATTTCCCCTAAGAGTAAAGTTGCAGTTGGCATTCTGGGGATGTCATGTACAGCGTGGTGACTATAGTTAATAATATTATACTGCATATTTAAAAGTTGCTAAGACAGTAGATCTTAAGAGTTCTCATCACAAGAAAAAAATTGTAACTATGTGCAGTGATGCACGGTAACTAACTGTGGTGATCATTTCACAATATATACATATATTAAATCATTATGTTGTACACCTAAAACTAATACAATGCTATATGTCAATTATATTTCAATAAGACTGGAAAAACAAAAGTCACAGTTGGCAGGTATTCTGCCTTCCAAGATAGCATAGGTGACAGTTGTATCAAGTGTTTTTGTGACAGCGTAACATGTGTCACTAGTTTTTTAGTTTCCAATACCTGAGTCTTTCTTTCTTTCTTTTTAAATTAATTTTATTGAAGTGTAGTTGATTTACAATGTTGTCTTAATTTCCGCTGTACAGCACAGTGACTCACTTATACATTAATGTATATGTTCTTTATCATATTCTTTTCCATTATGGTGTATTACAGGATACTGAATACAGTTCCCCATGCTCAACAGTAGGACCTTGTTGTTTATCCATCCTATATATATTAGTCTGCATCTGCTAATCCCAAACTCCCAGTCCATCTCTCCCCTACCCCCCCCCCTTGCCAACCACAAGTCTGTTCTCTGTATCTGTGAGTCTGTTTCTGTTTCATAGATATGTACATAGATATGTACATTTGTGTCATTCTAAATTCTACACCACTAAAATTAGGTTTGCAGTCATGCAATAGAAATTCCAGTTAACACTGGCTGAGCATAACAATCTTGTGATTTCTCATAAACTCCTAGAAGTCAGCAGTTCAGAGCTTTTGTTTCCACTCTGCTCTATGAGGTCATGCAAGGATCTCGATACTCTGGATCATCTACCTTGTTGCTTCACCAACCCTAGCACATTTTCCTCATTTGCATCATTCCAAGATGGTGGCTACAATATCCATATTACAAGAAGCCAGATGGAAGTAGACAGGAGGAAGGGGAAGAGTCTCACTGTTTAAGGACATGTCCCAGAAATTACACATCTCACTTCCTCTTCCATCACATTGGCTTTAACATAGTCATATGGTCATAGCTGCAAGGGAGTCTGAGAAATATAATCTTTTCTCAGAGCGGCATATGCCCAACTCTAAATGGAGATTCTATCACTATGAGATGAAAGAAAGGGGAAAAATATATAGATATAGAACAATCTCTGGAGCCTCTGAGAATAATAAAAGGAATTGGGAGTATCAGGAAATACTCCTGGAATAAGAACAACATACAGTTAATCTACACATATGCAAGTGGCAGCATCTCATCTGGAAAGAACTAATGGTGTTCCACATTCTATTTTATTTTATTTTTCATTTATTTTTAAATTTTTGGCTGCATTGGGTCTTTGTTGCTCCGCGTGAGCTTGCTCTAGTTGCAGTGAGCAGGGGCTACTCTTCGTTGTGGTGCACGGGCTTCTCATCGTGGTGGCTTCTCTTGTTGCGGAGCACGGGCTCTAGGCAAGTGGGCTCAGTAGTTGTGGCTCGCGGGCTCTAGAGCGCAGGCTCAGTAGCTGTGGTGCCTGGCTTAGTTGCTCCGTGGCATGTGGGATCTTCCCGGACCAGGGCTCGAACCCGTGTCCCCTGCACTGGCAGGTGGATTCTTAACCACTGTGCCACCAGGGAAGTCCCCCACATTCTATTTTAAATCTGTATATTTTTTCCCTCCTCCACTAGGCTTTGAGCTCTTTAAGGACAGAGATTCTATATCTGCTGCTCCTAGTAGGTATCCAATCAATATTCATCAAATGAAAGAATGAATGAGTCAGTAGAACTCTGATTTTTTTTAAATAAATTCTTTCGCACCAGATACTTGGTACAGTTTCAAGCTAAAGAACTGTTGGGGAATTTTCTAGTCCAAGCCCATTGTCTTGATCTAGGAAGGTTGTCTGGGTCCTTGGTATCCCATATTGCTATTTCTGTGTCCATCATCCTCTTGTAGGGGATCTCCTCCTGAGCACAGTGCCCACCTCTGAAGGGTACACAGAGAATGAACTATGAAGGCAGGGCAGGACCCAGTTCGTCTAACCTCCATCTGGAGTTCTTTTCACAACCTCACATGTAATCAGTGAAGTAGGAGATGAGAGGAGAAGGCAACTGCTTCTGTCTGGGTTGATCCCAGAAAGCTTCTTGAAGAAGATAGGTTTGAACTGGGCATTATAAAAGCAGAGCTTCCTAAACCTTTCCCCCCAAGGAACCCCAGGGCAAATAGAAGAGGGAGAATGTGACCCCTGAGGAGGCTGGGGGTGTAGCCTGAAGGAACCTACTCCAAGGAGAAATTTCTTTTAACTATTTTGCTCTGTTCCACTATTCATTCATGTATGCATTCATTCTTTCATTCATGTATTTAGCAAACATAATGCAGCATTAAGTGCCAGACATTGTCTTTTATGAAGACACACAAGACCCTGCTCTCTTGAAGCTTACGTTTTCATGCAGAATAGATGTAAAACAAGTAAGCACGTAAACCAGAAGCACATAAATGATCAACAAGATAATTTCTGATGGTGCTTAAGGCTATGAAAGAAATAAAGCAGAGTAGTCTAGTGCAGAGTACATATACCTCTCTGTGCCTCAGTTGACTCATCTGTAAAATGGAAATGATAATAGAGGTCTACAATTCCAAAATCCCCTAACTGAAAGCTTTGTCATAATTCAGTTGATGGTAAGCACGACTTGATCTGAACTCATTTGGAAGTGCATCTTGACCTGAACCGTATTATGTAGTAGTAGTAGTAGTTGTTGTTGTTCTTCTTCTTTTTTTTAAATCCCACTTAGAGTGGACAGTCCTGTGCTTCACTGCACATATTTTTTGTGTGTTTGATTATGAGATGCTGCCCCAGACTCCAGTTGGAGTATTACATAATACGAGGTACATGCATCATATTACCTTCTATGATCCGAAAAATTCTGAGTTCCAAAACACATCTAGGTCCAAAGGCTGTGGATAAGGGATCGAAGACCTCATGCAGTTATTATGAGGATTAAATGAGTTCATATATGTAAAGCACTGAAACCGTTGCCCAGCATATGGTAAATGCTACCTAAGTTACCTACTGTTCCTGCCTTTATCACTATTCTTACATGGGAGGGTATTTAGAAAAGTTGCCTAGAGACGGCCTCTCTGAGGATGTGTCATTTAAGCAGACAGCCAAGGGATGAGAATGACCTGGCTGTGGGAAGAGGAGGAGAAAGATAACTTCGGGAAGACGGAACAGCAAGTGCCAAGACTGGCTCAAGTGCAGAACAGAAAACAGGCCGGATGTCTGGTATGTGGTCCAAGAAGGGGAAAGGTGGTTCAAGGCCAGAGTGGTAGGCTGGAGTCAGAACATGCACGATATAAACAATGGTGAAGACTTTGGACTTCATTCAAAATGTAATAAGAAATCATTGTAGTTGATCTGATTCGTGTTTATAAAGACTGCTCTGATGCTCTTGATGGATGAATTGTGGAGGAGGAAGGGGGCAAGGGAGAGCAGGTCGGAGGCCAGTGTGTAGTACAGGGTGAGACCTCATGGCAAAGTGGAGTAGGGTTGGAGTAGCAGACAAGGAGAAAAGTGGACAGGTGCGAGAAAAAGTTCAGAAATAAGGGAGAAAAAGACTTTCTGATTAATTTTGCATTCGTTGTAATTTATAATATGTCCATGTATAGAGGCTGCGAATGTCACAGTCATGGTCTCCAGTGTGTTAAGGTCAGTGGTTTGCTGGACCCAGCTCCTGGGAATGGGATCGGAAGAGGGCACCTGGTTCATGATTTGTCTTTGTCATTTATCCATTTGGTCCCCGCCTAGACCTCCCTGGTCCTTAATATCACGCTTAGCAGCATTACTTATTGCCTTTTGATAGTGGGATTCATGAACCCATCATGTCTTCCGACAGAAGCATAGCTGAGGATGGGTTCAGGGTCTGGGATCCTGTTATCAGGGACCATACAAATAGCTCACTGTACTTATCCCCTTTCCCTCTTCTAAAGCCCTTCCCCCGCATCTTGACTTAATCCCCCTTCCCTGAGTGGTGGATGCTTTTCCTGAATTTTTGAGTAAGATTGATGCCCAAGGAAGATACACTATTTAGCTAAGGGCTTCCCATACTCCCGGCCTTTGCCACATCTTCCCAGGGATCTGACTGCTCCAGATTGAGAAGTACAGCCTTAAGAGATAACCAGAATTCTGGTGGGTGGCAATGGTAGGAAAGAGGACTCCAGGTGGAGGGGCTTGCAGGTCAGGGAACTGCAAGCTGGTCTTGGGCTCAGTGATTAGAGAAGCTGGTAGGGGAGTTGTATGAGGTCAACCTAGACAAGGAGATGGAGCCAAATTATGGAAGGCTTTGGACACCGTGATCAAAAGTTAGGGCTCGGGCTTCCCTGGTGGCGCAGTGGTTGAGAGTCCGCCTGCCGATGCAGGGGACACGGGTTCGTGCCCTGGTCCGGGAAGATCCCACGTGCCGAGCAGCTGGGCCCGTGAGCCATGGCCGCTGAGCCTGCGCGTCCGGAGCCTGTGCTCCGCAACGGGAGGGGCCACAACAGTGAGAGGCCCGTGTACCGGAAAAAAAAAGAAAGCTGAGGGGAAATTTTGCTTATTTACCCTCCATTGGAGGGATTAAGGGAAGTAGACACTTGGTTTATTAGATATCAGTATGACTGGTTGATTCAGTCAGTTGGGGGGACAGAAGCATTAATGGAGCTGGAAGTCTGCTGTAGAGACACAGGCTGGATCATTCCATGGATAAACACCGGTTAAATGAAAACCAGTGTTCTGGAGGAAAATACTGCTACAAGTCCTGAAACTGGAGAGCAAGTCTGTGGTTAAACCACCCTCTACGCAGGGCAAGCTCGAGTTAATATGATGGTTAGTAAAGCTCTTCAAGTGTGTCCCATGTTCCCTTTTAAGGTCTTTCTTCCCAGGGTGCAAGTGTCTCTCATGCTAAACCTGGATGCCCAAGAATCGCCATTAAGAGTAGGTTCCCACATGTCTCAGTTGGCCTGAGGGAGTCTTAGTTTATGCCTGTAGTCTTGGCATAAATTATTAACAGCCCCTCCCTTTTCCTTCCCATGTGTATCCTGTTTGATCAATTGGGGGTCACCCAGGCAGTGCCCTGACTCTCTACCCTCCCCTTTCCAAATTTGTGTAATATAAACCCAATGTGTAGGGAAAACGTTCATCCCCAAATCATCTCGGAGATGATTTCCAAAAACAGTCGAAGAGGAAAGCCCGGCTTATAGATAGTAGTGCCAAAATGGCGGGAGTTGTGCGACCTTGGACAAATCAGCTAATATCGCTGAGCTGTGTCTTATTCTGTAAAATGGGGGTAATGGATCACCTTTGTTTCCCTCCTTAGAATATTAAGAGGCTCGAGTATTGTGAAGGACTCTTCTAATGTGTACCAGGGCAGGCTTAACAAACAAACATTAACTGCACTAAAGTTTTTCTTTCCAGATGTAGCTGCATTTTAACATTCCTTCACCCCCGCACACCCCTGTCAAATTTCAGACTTCGGCAGCTGATTGATGGCTCTTCCATTGCAGCATTCTAAATAACAGTGAATAGGAAAACGCTGCTTCTCCCAACTTAAAAGCTATAATACTGAAAAGCTAAGATGCTAAAAGCTAAATATGTAACTAAGTTTTTTATGAACCTCAGTAATTGACAACTACAGTCATGGGGTGGAGGTTGGGGTGCTGTTTAGACCGGTGAGAACCATCAACCCGGACTGTTTAGTTTCAAATGTAGCAAAAGAGAGGCAGCAAACGGGAATTTTAAATTCTGATTCTTGGTGTATTTTAGAAGGGCGATTTGTTCTTTCTTATACTTTCAGGTGTTTCTAATGTGGACCTCGAAGAGACAATTTCTCATCCTTTTTAACATGATCCTAATTTCCGAACTCCTTGGGGCTAGATGGTTTCCTAAAACTCTGCCCTGTGATGTCACTCTGGATGCTCCAAACGCCCATGTGATCGTGGACTGCACAGACAAGCATTTGACAGAAATTCCTGGAGATATTCCCACCAATGCCACCAACCTCACCCTCACCATTAACCATATAGCGGGTATCTCTCCAGCGTCCTTCTACCGGCTGGACCACCTGGTAGAGATCGATTTCAGATGCAACTGTGTACCTGTTCGACCGGGGCCAAAAGACAATGTGTGCACCAGAAGGCTGCAGATTGAACCCAGCAGCTTTAGTAAACTCATTTATTTAAAATCTCTTTACCTGGATGGAAACCAGCTTCTAGAAATACCTCAGGATCTTCCTCCCAGCTTACAGCTGCTGAGCCTTGAGGCCAACAACATCTTTTCGATCATGAAAGAGAACCTAACAGAACTGGCCAACCTAGAAATACTCTACCTGGGCCAAAACTGTTACTATCGCAATCCTTGTAATGTTTCGTTTTCCATTGAAAAAGATGCTTTTCTAAATATGACAAATTTAAAATTGCTCTCCCTAAAAGATAACAATATCTCAGCTGTCCCCACTATTTTGCCACCTACTTTAACTGAACTCTATCTTTATAACAACATCATTGCGAAGATCCAAGAAGATGATTTTAATAACCTCAATCGACTGCAAGTTCTTGACCTAAGTGGAAATTGCCCTCGTTGTTATAATGCTCCGTTTCCTTGTACACCCTGTGAAAATAATTCTCCCCTACAGATCGACCTAAATGCTTTTGATGCATTGACAGAATTACAAATTTTACGTCTACACAGTAACTCTCTTCAGTATGTGCCCCAAAGATGGTTTAAAAACGTTAACAAACTTAAAGAACTAGATCTTTCCCAAAACTTCTTGGCCAAAGAAATTGGGGATGCCAAATTTTTGCATCTTCTCCACAACCTTGTCCAATTGGATCTGTCTTTCAATTATGAACTTCAGGTCTATCATGCATTTATGAATCTGTCAGACGCATTTTCTTCACTGAAAAACTTGAAAGTTTTGCGGATCAAAGGCTATGTCTTTAAAGAGCTGAGAAGTTCATACCTCTCCCCATTACATAATCTTTCCAATCTTGAAGTTCTTGATCTTGGCACTAACTTTATAAAAATTGCTGACCTCAGCATATTTAACCAATTTAAAACATTGAAATTCATAGATCTCTCAGTGAATAAAATATCACCTTCAGGAGATTCAAGTGAAGATGGCTTCTGCTCTAACATGAGAACTTCTGTAGAAGGTCATGGGCCGCACGTCCTTGAAGCATTACATTATTTCAGGTATGATGAATTTGCAAGGAGTTGCAGGTCCAAAAGCAAAGAGCCTCCTTCTCTCTTGCCTCTTAATGAAGATTGTTACAAGTATGGGCCGACCTTGGACCTAAGTGGAAATAATATATTTTTTATCAAGTCTTCTGAGTTTCAGCATCTTTCTTTCCTCAAATGCCTAAACTTATCGGGAAATACCATTAGCCAGACGCTTAATGGTAGTGAATTTCAGCCTTTAGTGGAGTTGAAATATTTGGACTTCTCTAACAATCGGCTTGACTTACTCTACTCAACGGCATTTGAGGAGCTACGCAACCTGGAAGTCCTAGATATAAGTAGTAACAGCCATTATTTTCAATCAGAAGGAATAACTCACATGCTAAACTTCACCAAGAACCTCAAGGTTCTGAAGAAACTGATGATGAACAACAATGACATCGCCACCTCCACCAGCAGGACCATGGAGAGCGAATCTCTTAAAATTCTGGAATTCAGAGGCAATCATTTGGATATTTTATGGAGAGATGGTGATAACAGATACTTAAAACTCTTTAAGAGTCTGCTGAGCTTAGAGGAATTGGACATCTCTGAAAATTCCCTGCGTTTCTTACCTAGTGGAGTTTTTGATGGTATGCCTCCAAATCTGAAGACTCTCTCCTTGGCCAAAAATGGGCTCACGTCTTTCAATTGGGGAAGACTCCAGTACCTGAGCAATCTAGAAACGTTGGACCTCAGCTACAACCAACTGAAGACTGTCCCTGAGAGATTATCCAACTGTTCCCACAGCCTCAAGAAACTCATACTTAAGAACAATCAAATCAGGCACCTGACAAAGTATTTTCTACAAGATGCTTTCCAGTTACGACATCTGGACCTGAGCTCAAATAAAATCCAGGTTATCCAAAAGACTAGTTTTCCAGAAAACGTCCTCAACAATCTGAACATTTTGTTTTTGCATCACAATCGGTTTCTGTGCAACTGTGATGCTGTGTGGTTTGTCTGGTGGGTTAACCATACAGAGGTGACGATTCCTTACTTGGCCACAGATGTGACTTGTATGGGACCAGGAGCACACAAGGGCCAGAGTGTAGTGTCTCTGGATCTATATACCTGTGAGTTAGATCTGACTAACTTCATCCTGTTCTCACTTTCCATATCGGCAGCTCTCTTTCTGATGATGATCACAACAGCAAACCATCTCTATTTCTGGGATGTGTGGTATAGTTACCATTTCTGTAAGGCCAAAATAAAGGGCTATCGACGTCTGATATCACCAAATTCTTGCTACGATGCTTTTATTGTGTATGACACTAAAGACCCAGCAGTGACAGAGTGGGTTTTGGATGAGCTGGTGGCCAAATTGGAAGACCCAAGAGAGAAATGTTTTAATTTATGTCTCGAGGAAAGGGACTGGTTACCAGGGCAGCCTGTTCTGGAAAATCTTTCCCAGAGCATACAGCTTAGCAAAAAGACAGTGTTTGTCATGACAGACAAGTATGCAAAGACTGAGAATTTTAAGATAGCATTTTACTTGTCCCATCAGAGGCTCATGGATGAAAAAGTGGACGTAATTATCTTGATATTCCTTGAGAAGCCCCTTCAGAAGTCCAAGTTTCTCCAGCTCCGGAAGAGGCTCTGTGGGAGTTCTGTCCTTGAGTGGCCAACAAACCCACAGGCTCATCCGTACTTCTGGCAGTGTCTGAAAAACGCCCTGGCCACAGACAATCACGTGACCTACAGTCAGGTGTTCAAAGAGACAGCCTAGCCCTTCTTTGCAAAATGTGACTGCCTAACTTACCAAGGAGAGGCTCGGCTGCCTAGATTGGCTCATCCGTGTCCCACCAAAAGAGTGTTTTAAACTTTTCCAAGCCCTGAGATTGCCCATATTGGAGAGGAGTCACCGATATATGACAGAGGAACTGGAAAATTGGGATTTATATAAGCGTCAAGTCATCTTTCTTAGCTCTCTCTGTCTCCATTTGCAGTTGAGTCTCTGCCTTCTGCTCCTGTATAAAATACTGTTGGGAGAAGGGTGGCAAGTAGAGGACATGGCACTTTGATTCTCCTGGAATTGTGATTATTACGTAAACACACAGTCACTAAATTGAGAAGAACTGCATTTCTACCCTTAAGAAGTACTGGTATATATGGAAATAGGGTAAAAAAAAAATGCTCAGGGTCTACCTATATGACATTAAAATGCACCAGAGTTAATTAGTGGGAATAAACCAAAAACAAAAACAGTTAACTCCTCAACCAATTGCTTGAGTGTAATCTAGCACCCCCTTCTGTGCAGACTGAGTGTTGGCACCCAACAGGTGGTTGCTGCTCAAGTGCTCCTCGCTCGTTTCCCCTGGGCCTGTTATTGGGTTCTGTGGGGAAATAGAAACATCTTTGCCATTGATGGACATAGTCTACTTACAAATGGGAGAAAAATAAAGTGCTCTGCCTTTATGCAAAATGATGCTCTTCACCTTTGATGATAATTTACCTGCTTAAATATTGCTGTGGACTAAATGTTTGTGCCCACCCCCAAATTCATATGTTGAAATCCTAACCCCCAATATGATGGTATTAGGAGGCGGGGTTTTTGAGAGGTGATTAGATCACGAGAGTGGAGCCCTCATGATGGGATTACTGCCTTAGAAGAAGCAGCCAGAGGACTGAGGATACAAAGAGAAGTGGGCAGTCCGCAAGCCACAAGAGGACTCTCACCAGAACCAGATCGTGTTGGCACTCTGATCTCAGACTTCCGTCCTTCAGACCTGTGAGAAATAAATGTTTGTTCTTTAAGCCACCCGGTTTGTGATGTTTTGTTATAGCAACCAAGCTAAGACAAATATTTTCATCTGCATTGAAAAGTACTGTATCCAAAGAAGAATTGCCTCATCCAATGATCTTTCAAACTGCTTTGTTAACTAATACTGTATATTTATAATCATCTGAAAACTTGATCCATCAACATTAGACGATTTTGGTGGTAAACTCTGAAGAAGGACCCCAAGAGCGTGTATTTATTTAGAATTATCAGGCAGGGATGACAACTGCATGGATTCCTTTAAATTTGGGGGGCAGGGGGAGGAACAGAGGTTTATCGACCTTAACACTGAGAAAGCCTCAGTCTTGAGCTTCGGCTTCACTACTCAAAAAAAGAACAGAAAGGACCAAGATGTTCTGAAGGCACACCTTCCAAGTGGGTATAAATCTGCATGAGTTCAAAGTTTGAAACGTGACCAATGTGCTTTTATTTCGTGAAAGAAGTTATCTACAGAGGTGTCTGTGCCCTTTGGAAGATAGTGTGTAAGGGTTCACATCTGAGAGTATGAGCTGGGAGATACTGTATTTTCCTCGTATGTGGAAAAGCCAAAGGTTTTACTTTAAGGATGGCTATCAATACACAGTATATAAATTATTTCCAAAGGACACATAATCAATTAATAAGAGTCACAAATTCCCAAATTAATCTCTGGATTGAATAGAGCCAATGATCTGACAACCTCTATAAACTTGATTGTACTTCATAGATACCTTCTTCGGTGAAAACAAAGATAGCATCATAAAAATTGGCTTTGGCATGATAAACTTTCTTCTATTAAAACACATAAATACAGGGACTTCCCTGGCGATCCAGTGGTTAAGACTCTGTGCTTCCACTGCAGGGGGCACGGGTTCGATCCCTGGTCGGGGAACTAAGATCCCGCATGCCACGAGGTGCAGCCAAAACACACACACACACACACACACATAAGGTTTAAGCTATTTTGGTGATTCATGAAGCACTTGAAGACACCTTAAATATATGAAATGGATCAAGAGGAAGGGAAACTGAGAACAATGCAACTCAGAAACCACAACGTATTTAAACATGAGATTGTGTACAGTGGTTTGTTGTAAGAAATGACCAAAAGCACTTCAACAGATGGTCTTCATTTTAATTCCTTTGTAATCTCGACAAGTCACTCTTTTAACCTCCTGACGGTCTTCTGTGGAGTCCTGTTCTATTGGAGCCATTCATAGATGGCACAGATCAAAAGCCACCAACTCAGGCCACCAGGAGCGCATGATGGCTAGTTCTCCTGCCAAGCTCTGAGTGTCCTGCTCTCAGCTGACCCGCTTCTGGTTGGCGCTGCTCTAGAAGGGACTCCCGATTCTCCATAAATCCCACTCTACCATCAAGGGGTTCCCAACCTCTTTCAACCCTGAACCTGGCCAGGGTGTGTCCTTCCTCCTCGGATAGAGGCTGTACCTCAGCAAGACTTGGGCATCTGTTAGGATCCAAGCCAAGGGAAGCATTAGGCAGGTAAGTGTTAAGGCTGAGAATAAGGCAAAGCAAGTGTTTGCAGCCCATAGAACGGAGAGAAGATGAGTCTAACCATAGCCCCGCTGCTGACTCAGGGTCTCTTGGCCCCATCCTCACATCTACTTCCAGCTCTATCTGTCTGAATGGTCTTAGGTCCAACTGGTCTCTTAAATGTAGTCAGGGAATACAGAGTATATGAGGGGGGCAGTGGTGACTTAACAACCTGGGCTTCTTGTTCGCCAGTCTCCAAGGAAACTGTAATGGGGACAGCAAGGATGCACACTCTTCTTTTTCAGGAACCTGTCCCCCTCCACCCCCATAAAACATGCTTTTTGTTTACTTCCTCCTTCTCATCCTAACCAGAGAGAACCAGGTTGCATCTCCTGTGAGGTATTTATGCCCCAGTTTTAAAACGGGGGTGGGGATAAGGTTTGATTTGTCCTGTACCTCTCCTGCACGCCCTCAAGTGGGCAGAGGACACTGGCTATGGGACAGATTTACTGGCCTGGTGTGGAAGCTCATCCCTCCTCGGAGCCTTGGGATACCAGGCCTCAGGAGCAGTTAGTAGTGGGACATGCCACCAGTCACCTCTGCTGGAAGCTCGAGCCCTTGAGCCTAAGAAGCACTGGGAATTCTTTGTATCTTCTGAAGTACAAATATCAGTGTGGGAGGGAAATGACCAAAGAACGTGATTGAGGGTGACTCAAAAGATGTTCTCTGGAGAACACGAGGACTGAAAGTGAATCCCTGTCATTGAGTTAATGTAATGAAGGAGAACACGAGAGGCACCAACCAACCAACCAACCTAGTGAAGGGGAAGGGTTACAAAGAGAGGAGAAAGTCCCAAACTTGTGATGAGATTGTGTGGAAGAAGGCCTGGTGACACAGGGGCCGTCCATGCTGGTGACAGTGAGATGACAACAGGGCAGTTTCACACTGTTTGGCGTTTTATATGTTTTTCCATCTCTCTTCTTTTGCCTTCCCCTCCCTCTCAGTTTCTTTTTCGGCTTTAGGCACCCACGGCAAGCCTCGTGTCCTACACAAGAATGAACAGAAAGAGCCGTTGTTGCAGGTGGATTCTTCTGTTCGGAAGCGGTGGTTTGGTGTGTACTTTTGCTTTAAAACTGGTCTCTTTCCCACACATACAGAGTAAATCCCCACCTGCTTCAGTGAGCACGAGCTTCTGTAATTGGCCTGGTGAAACCTTCCCTGGGTGACACTGGCCGGACTCTCTGTCACATTCAAACTCATATTCTTTCAGCTTATCCCAACTTTCAAGCATGTGGGTTAAGAAACTGAGTAAGATCTGGTGCTCTGCCTCAAGATGACCCTACTGTTGGGTTGTAATTAATTTCTAACGTGTTTGCCATGACATTTCAATGATTGTATTTCTTCATGTATATATCCCTTCTCCCTCTTCGTCATTTATATTAATTGTTTTGGAAGAGCCCAGACAAACTGACTGAGGAGGTTTGAGTCCCAGTGTCTCACAACAAGCACCCTCCAGAGAGAGTCTGTTAGGTTCTGGGGGATAACAGGAAGCCCCCGTGGCCTCGTGGCAGTTTTCACACATCCCTAGAGCCCGCCAGTGGTCAGGGTGAGGCGGGCAGATGCTTCCACACACAGAAAATGGTTCTCAGTGTCCTTCTGGCTGGTGGCACCCCTGAAGCAAAGGCCAGACAGAGACAGCCAACTAGGGCACCATCTTTATCTTGTATGATACACGTGACTACTTCACTTCTCACTGGCCAAGGAGATGTAGCGGGTCAGAGATTCCAGAGGCTTTCAGAATAGTGAATTTCCTGAGCTTACGTCTTGAGCCATAGAAGTTTGTAGGAACACCTCCATGAACCCATGCCTGAGGCCCATTGTCCAGGGGGACCAAGCTGCTAAGAAGAGCAGGGGTCGGGGGGCTGTTTGGGCAGTTAGAACCAGCCTGTTGTCCTGCAGTCACCCTGGAACGGTGGGTAGCACTCCTGCGCCAGGTCCAAGAGGAGGCCCACCGAGCAGGGCCTTGTAAGCAGGTGACGTGCATTAAATAAAATGGTTTACAGTGCCTATCTCACTGCCCTAGGTCCTCATTTCCCACCATTTAGTTGCCTTTCGAAGGAAGCTGAATTAGAAGAATGAGGTTTAAAATAATCACCAATTTGGCTCCTCCTCTTGAGGACAGGCCCCCAAGGGGATGACAGGGTGAGGAGAGAGCAAGGAGGATCTTAGGATGAAGGGCGGAGGGTGAAGTCACTGGTACCGGGACAGTGTTATCGAGTGGGGGCTGCAGGAGGAAGAGGAGGGAAGGAATCATATTTATTAAGCAGCAAAGCCAAGTTCAAGGCTTCATTTATTCTGTTAAATCTTCATCTCAGCTCTATGAGGCTGGTATTAAGAGCCCCATGTCAAAGAGGATGGGTTAACTCACAGATGAAGGTGGGGTCAGACATGTTAAGTCAACTGCCAAGGTCACAGGGGCAGTAGATGGCCCTGCCCCGAACTGACCCAGCTCTGTCCAGCCAGGTCAGCTGTTTCTCCAATTTTACAGGGAATCAGAATCACCGAAGGAGCTTGGAAACCATGTGGTTGCAGGCCTCCACACCAGAGGTCCTGATCTCTGGGACCCAGGACTCTGCATTTCTGAAACTAGCCCAAGTGCTTCTGAAGCAGCTGCTCTGCAGAGCCCCGTTTGGGAAGGGCCACATCTTCCTTTGGGATACCAGGGACTGTTAACTCAGGGATCACTTCAGCAAAGAAAGCCCGAACCCCCAGGTATGCTCAATTTCTCTTTCTCCTTCTGTGTATAACCCTCAGCACTCTTAACCGGCACTTGTTCTCAGGAGGGATATAATCGAACCGTACAGGATTGGCAGTTCTGTTCAGGGCTGGAATGTGAAGACAGTTTGCGCAAGCACACTTGGCAGATTTGGGTAGAGACAGAGGCAGGTGGACAACTGATGCGCAGTCCCGTAGGTCCTGACCAGTAGAGCTGCTGCTTGTGTTCACGATTTAAAGGATGTCTTGACTGTAATTTTCCTAGTATCTGACTGAATTGGACACTGACTGTGGTTCTTCGTATACGGTGCAGAGTGCCACCTAATGGAACCTCATGGGTGTTGCCGGTCTGCTACTGAGACCCTTGGCTAGGTCTCCCAAGTGGGGTGTGGGAAGAAAATATAAGAATAGATATAATCATCTTTTAGAAAGTGTGTCTGTGGCTGTTTTATCATATACCCAGTGTATTAATACAGAAATAGGTAGGGCTGTGTGTTCAATGTTGTTTATTGATGAGACGGCAATGTCAAAAATATTGGAGAGCACAGACTATCAAATCTTTGTTTTGACCACTTATTTCCATTGCTTTGATTTGGTGTCTCAAGATGGGGCTGGCCGTGCATTGCCCTTTGCACGTGCAGGCATAGATGAAAAACCTGAGTTAACCGGGTGAGCGGCCTTCTTTTCCGTACGACACATTTCCTCTTTTCATACAGCATGGCCCGCATGTTAAACCGTGGTTTTTGTAGCAGTGACACCCTCTTAGCATCCCTGTAGTGCCCTCTGTCGCTCTCTCGATTCCAGTCTCACTCACTGAGCACTCTCTCCGTCTCTCCTGTTTCTGAGTAACCTAACTACTAACTGTTTTCCTCCACCACCCCCTCATCCCCACCCCAGCCCATAAATGGCATCTTTAAAGCCTGCTGTAATTTAATAGTTTGAGGATTAGCCGTCTTTTTCATCCTACTTAACTGTGAGTTCATGAAAACTGTCTCTGGGTGGGCATGATGCTTGGGGGCTTCATGCCCGCTTCCCACAGGCAACATTAAGCAAGTCAAAGATGATGGAATGCTCACTTGCTATTATACATATATAGAACATTCCTCATACAGTGAATATTTTTAATCTTTTTCTTTTAGCGTACAGTATCTGGGAATTTTCTTCTACTAGCCATTTCTGCTGTGTATAAAGTTTATGCTCAACATTTCATGTATTATATTCATACATTAAAATTTTTTTAATTTAAAGGGTGATACTTAGTTAGCTCTTCCATGCATTACGTATTCTCAATCACTATTTGGTCTCCTCTTGTTTTCTTTGAATTTAAGTCCATCAGACTTTCCAGAAATGTCTCAGATACCCAGAGTTCATTTCTGTAGGCTTTTTATTAAATATATTTTTTTCATTTTCCATAATCTTTCTACCATGAGAACGCTGACCACTTCCTGCTTAAAACTTATCGGAGGAAAGTCCCTTTTTCTTGATCCAAGTTCCCATATTTCCCTAGTTCTGCTTTTTCCTGTGATCCTGCAAGAAGAAGAAGAAAAGCCAGAAGTATGAAGGAGTGCCATGTTCATTTGCATAGGACCCTGTGATGCTTCTTTACCTCCAAGAATCAGAATTGAGTTCTTCCCGTTCTTACCCCTCCCCACCTCCTGATATTTCCACTGACTCTAGGTATAATTGGTTTTCTCCATTGTCACACGTGAGTTTACATTTTTCCTGATATAGCCTGTTTTCATAAAACTTCTTTTAGAAAGCTCTGTTGAGAGAGACCATACCGAGGTTTATATACAAAAGTATAAAGTGCTTTCTTCCGAGAATGTGATGGGCAGGGTTGATCTCTCCCTAAGCGGCGCTGGACACCAAAGTTGCACCAAGTCCAGCCTTGGTGAAGTTCACTTGGAAATTTAGGATTCCATTTAGAAAGGGAAGTTTTCAGAGTTGTTGGGGTCTGCGGGAAGCCTGGTTACTTACACCTCTCTCCAGCTGAGCAATACACACCGGCGTCAGGTGGGGGTTAAGACCCAGCATTTGCTAAATTTGATGCCCATAGCTTGCGTTTGTCGTCTTATAACTCTCCAATCCCTCTGGCTCCATTGAGTTGCTCCGCCCAGCTACAGATAGAAAAGAAGAAGGAATACAAGCTTTCAACCCAGAGCGAGGGCGCCCTGCCTCAGGGCGGTAGAAACAAGGAGGGGGAGTGCTCTGCTCTGCTCGGGCTGCCCCTAGAGAACAAGAGCCAGGAGGAGACTGGAACAAACAGGCGCAGTGACCATTTCCCCACTGTCGCCAATCCGACAAGTCGTTCTGTCTCCCGTGAGAAGCGTAGGAAGGGGTAAAAGGAAAGAAGGTCTAGTCACCATCCTTCCCCATTTCAGGAGTTGATGTCACAGTGTAAAGAGAAGAGAAAACTCCTTCCAAAGTGCCATTCTGAATCAATGATAAATGAGTAAAATCTCAATTAAATGAACTATACTAATAAATTAGTCTGTAAAACGTCAGGCCGTGCTTGGATTCATGAAATGAAGAAGACTCTTCTTTTAAAAGCCTAAGACCAAAACTTACAGGTTTCTCATCCTTACAGGAGATAGAGAGTCCTTACCTTCAGGGGCGCTAGAGGTATCATTTCTAAGACTCTATATTATTGATTGGGTTCCATAATTTCAGCATTTATGAGATAGTGTAGGATGTAGTTATTTAGAATTTGTATTCTGCGTTATATTGATGTAGTATTTAGAAGCTGTCAGTTGTACTCATTCATTCATTCACTCATTCATTCATTCATTTTATTCAGGCAGTCAATAAATACTATTGTGTGCACACCATGGACCAGGCATGGTGCTAGGGGCTGAGGAGACCCTGGTGAGCAAAAATAGAAATATTCCCTGTTTCCCCAGAGCTTATTCAGAAACTCATCAATCAGATAGTCGTGTTGAGGGGGATTCAAGTGCTTTGAAGGAAAGGAAGAATGTTCTAGAAGATTATGTAATTCTCATGTTACACATCAGAGAACTGAGTCCGATTGGGGAGCAGAAGGCACAGGCTGTCTAAGGAAAGCCACCGAGCTGAGATGTAAAAAATGAGTTAACTGAACAAGACAGCATTGGAAGAGGACCGTATTTGGAGGTAGGACATCACAAGTGTGGCTTCGTAATATTGAATTGGGGAGCTTTCCAATACCCAAACTGGAGATGCTGAGTCAGTAGCTGGCCACAGTCTATGGAGCTAAGAAAGAGAGCTGAGCTAGAGATGCGTAGTTCAAGTCTCCTGCGGCAGTGACAGTGACGGACACCTTGTGCAGAAATGATGTAGTCTAGGGACTTGCTATTCAAACAGTGGTCCCTGGACCAACATCGTCAGCGCCTCCTGGGAGTTCCTTAGAAAAGCCCCACTTTGTACCTGATAAATCAGAATCTGAATTTCAGCAACAGACCCAGGTGGTTGCCAGGCATTTTACAGTTTAAGAAGCACTGCCCTTATTAACCTCAGCGCTACTGACAAAGCATTCTTTATTGGGATGAGGTGTCTGTGTGTTGGGGGGGGAGCTTTTGAGGGGAGAGCTGTCCTGTGCATTGTAGGGTATTTAGCATCCCCAACCTCTACCCACTAGGCGCCACGAGCATCTCCCCTTCCCTCCCCTCCCCTGGAGTTGTGAAAACTACAAATACTCTGCCAAACGTCCCTTGGGGGACAAGATACACCTCCCCTCAGTTGAGAACCACTGAGCTAAGGGCAAGGTATGGAGTAAATGGAAAGATGACGGGAATTGAGCTTTGAAGAATTCTAATTGTTCGCAGCTGGCAGAAGATGAGCCTGAAAAGGACAATGAAAAGGAGGAGACAGAGAGAGAAGAAAAACGAGGAGAGCAGTGTCTAAGAAATCAAGGAAGCAAGGATGATGAGGACGGCGTCACGTGCCACTGAGATGAAGATGAGGACTGCAAAGTGTCCATTTAATTGAGAGAAATGGAAGTGACCCTCGGGAAGCTTGTTAGAAATACAGAGTCTCAGGTCCCCCCCCGAAACCTCCTGAATCAGAATCTACGTACGTTTGAACAAGAGCCCCAGGTCCCCAGGCGATTCCTACACACGCATTAAAGTCTGCTAACAGAGACTTAGGTAAGTCTCTAAGCTAGTTTAGTAGTGAAGGAGAGGAAGCAAGATGCTGTGCAATTGTATCTACAACCGGTTTGCTACATGTGACTGCCTTAAATATACTTAGTGTCTATAAATAGATTCAAAGGAACCACATATGGTTGAACATGTCACATATTTAAACAGGAAAGTGCAATTTCCAAACTCATAAATCAGAACTCTGGTTGCACTCCTGTTTTCAAGGTACTTGATGGCTTCAGAATTTCATGATTTTATTAAAGTCTCAAGTACAGCCGTTACTTTATACTTTCATGCAGGCGGTTAGTGCCCATGAACAAATGCACATGTGTTTGCAACTAATTGGCTTTCATAAAAGAAGAATATTTAGTATAGTTTGGTGTAAAGAGAATCTTAATATTTTTACTAATTGTGTTTCTACCAGTGGACGTGCTGTTGACGTGTATTACTCTAGACGGGCGGTTTTCTTTTTCTTTTTTCCCCAATTTTATTGAGACATAATTGGCAAATAAAAATTGTATATATTGAAGGTGTACAATGTGATGGTTTGATATATGTGTATACTGTGAAATGATCACCACACATCCGTCACCTGAAGTAGCTACCAGTTCCGGCAGTGTGTGGTGAGAGCACTTAACATCTACTCTCAGCAAATTTCAAGTGTGAGATACAGTTTTATTAACTGTGATCATCATGCTGTGCATTTGATCCTCAGAGCTTACTCATCTTACGACTGACAGTTTGTACCCTTTGACTAACATCTTCCCGTTGGCCTTAGTGCCACCCTCGCCCCATTCTACTCCCTGATTCTGAGTCTGACTATTTTAGATTCCACCTATAAAGACACCGTACAGTATTTGTCTTTCTCTGTCCGACTTATTTCACTTAGCATAATGCCCTAGACGTTCATCCGTGTTGTTCCAAATGGTAGAATTTGCTTCATTTTTATGGCTGTATATATATATCTCACATTTTCTTTATCCATTCATCCATCAGTGGACACTTAGGTTTTTTCCATATCTTGACTAGAGTGAACAATGCTTCAATGAACACGAGGGTGCAGATACCTTTTCAAATTAGTGTTTTCGTTTTCTTCGGATAAATACGCAAAACTGGAATTACTGGATCATATGGTAACTCTATTTTTAATTTTTTGAGGAACCTCCGTACTGTTTTCCATAGTGGCTGCACCAATGTACATTCTCACCAACAGTGCACAAGGGTTCCTTTTTGTCTACATCCTCGCCAACACTTGTTATTTCTTGTTTTTTTTGATAATGGCCATTCTAGCTGGTATGAGGGGTTATCTCATTGTGGTTTTGATTTGTGTTTCCCCGATGACTACTGATGCCCAGCACCCTTTCATGTACCTATTGGCGATTTGTATGTCTTCTTTGGAAAAACGTCTATTCAGATCCTCTGTCCATTTTTAAGTTGACTGTTTGCTTTTTGCTATCGAGCTGTACGAGTTCCTTATGTATTTTGGATATTAACCCCTAATCAGATGAATGGTTTGCGAGTATTTTCTCCTGTTTTATAGATTGCCTTTTCATTTTGCCGACGTTTTTCTTTGCTGTGCGGAAACTCTTTAGTTTGATGTAGTCCCACTTGCTGATCTTTGCTTTTGTTGCTTGTGCTTCTGGTGTGATATCCAAAAAAACACTGACCAGTGTCAAGGAGGTTTTTTGCTATGTTTTCCTCAAGGAGTTTTACGGGTTTAAGTCCTATATTTAAGGGTTTAATCCATGCAAACACACAGGTGTAAGACCACCCTGTCCCATCAATAACAAGGGCTACAAGTGCAGAGAGTCTCAGGCTGGGGACAATACCATGCTATCCCAGAAGGGAGGAGATATTTATTGTGAGACAGTCCTGGTGATTCAGATCTGTTTCCCCACTTGCTACGGTGGTTCTTAATCTTGGCTGTCGTTGAAATTACCTGAGGTTCTTCAAAAATCCCCATGCCTGGGCCCCACCAATGAAGCTTCTGATTTAATTGGTCTGGGGGAGAGCCTGGGCGTTTGGATTTGAAATCTTGCAGGTGATTCCAATATGTAGGCAACCGGTTCTCAGAGTTGAGCGTGCGTCAGAGTCACCTGAGGGGCTTGTTAAACCTCGGATTGCTGGGTCCCACATCAGTTTCTGATTCGGTAGGTCTGAAGTTGGAGCCTGAGAATTTGCATCTCTAACAAGCTGGGCCCGGGGGCTGCTGATGCTACTGAGTGGTCCTCAAACTTCATTGGCTCTGCGCTCGAGCTCCTGAGTTTCTTGAGTCCTGACATTTGCATTTTAAATAAGAGCTAGAAGATCCCAATGCACGCGATCTAGATGCAAACCCTTGCAAAGCCGTGCCCTAGGGGCTAAGGTCGCACTGGGAGGCTCAGTCATCTTTGAGATTGTCATCTGTTTTCTTTCCTTTTCCTTCATTCCCATTCACGCTGACCTTAAGCTCTGTGCCCATTGCCTCGGGGGACATGTGCGGGGTAAGTGAGTTCTTGGGGTTTTGTCTTCTAAAAGCCTAATAGTCTTAGGGGATCATGAGGGGTTTGTGAAGGTAAAGCTACTCAGGGACATCTGGGTCTCCAGGAATGGCAAAAGGCGAGGTTGCTTCTCCGCCTTTTTTTGGAGAGAGAAGCCGAGAGGGAAGGGAATGGGAGGGCTGGGGAGGCCTGTTGATTCAGAGAAAAGAGGGGACCTGCCAACTTCATGTGGAAGATGAAGACACACCCCTGTGTGTCACTACAGCAGAGCCGGAAACTGTGTACAATTCCTGGGAGGCAAGGGTCTGAGTTAACCTTCGGAAGAGTCAGGTAGGATGAAAGCTCAGGGCTAGAAACGAACTCGAATCATAGGAAATGAAGCTGTCTTTGTGTAGCTAGCAGTTGGTAGACTGACATTCGCACCGGATACCTGTTCTACTCTTGGAACATTTTCCACCTGGCAATATTTCTTTTGTAATCTGGTTTTGTTTTGGTTTTGTTTTGTTTTCTCAAAATCTAACTCAGTAAGTGGATTTAGAATAGATACAGGGAAGTCTGAGCTTTATTTCACATCTTTCGTAACTTATGAAATTGACACTTCTCTAGCTCATTACTTAGTTAAAATTTTCTATCTATTCCCAAATGGGGGAGCAAAAGCTTCATGGTTTTGCTCTTCTTGCATCTTAAACCTTTGAGACCCATAGGGCAAATTATGAATAAAATTTGTTTTTATTTGGAAGCTTGGATTGTCCTAACCTGAAAGGGCCCCCAAACGAAGAATAAGACCTTTATACATGTGTAAATTTTTTTTTTTTTTTTTTGCGGTACGCGGGCCTCTCACTGCCGTGGCCTCTCCCGTTGCGGAGCACAGGCTCCGGACGCGCAGGCTCAGCGGCCATGGCTCACGGGCCGAGCCGCTCTGCGGCATGTGGGATCCTCCCGAGCATCGGCAGGCAGACTCCCAACCACTGCGTCACCAGGGAAGCCCCTATACATGTGTAGTTTATTAACCTTTGCAGCAGTGTAAAATTTTATACTCAATTTATCCCATGTATATCACACAAAAAGGACTCCTCTGCCTGTTCAGGAAGGGAAATACTGGGTAGGGTGCGCCACCTGGTGGCAGGATGGTTATTAACTCCTTTGCCATGGGCTGGGTCTTGCAGAAGTAATTTCTGACCCTGAAGGCGGTTCTGAAGTCCCTTGGAGGTGGCAGATCCAGAAAGGGAGAAACAGAAATGGTTTCCTCCAACTCTAAAAGCCCCACGTTGAGAGAGATGAAGATTGGGAAAAGAGGATTTGAAGGAAAGAGGAAAGAAAGACAAGTTGGGGTGCGGAGAGGGAAGAAGGGGTCCTGGGGATTGTGAGGAATCCATTTAAGACCTTCTGGAGTCTTCCTCTCCATACCCAGCCCGGGGCCTCAAACCTAAGAGAATGTTCTCGTGCTTTCAGAGTGCCCTCATCTATGTGAATTAAGTGGCTGTCCCCCAAATCTTTTCGCGTGTTCTCAGCCTCTAGTATTGATACCCGCCCCCCCCACCAGCCGCGCTCCCCCCCAGTACCCAACCTCACCTCCTACATCAATGACAAAGAAATTGGAGACCCATTGACGTGCACTTCTTCAAATCCCCTCCCCTCAACATCAAAATATATTGTATGTAACTGTCCTCCGCACCAGCTCACAAAACCAAGATTCTTTCCACAAACAGCCTATCCTATTTGCAAGGAGTGGTGGCCCTCCCTTAGCTGTCCCTTCCTCTTCCCCTTCCTAAGTTACAAGTCCACCCACCCCCGCTCCTGGTTCACGCCCTTTTGCCTACTTGCTTCATCAGATGTGCTCCATCTGTGGCATAATCACTCTCTTCCATCCTGCTGGCGTTTCTCCTCACCAGAACGTGGTTCTTCTAAAATTATTTTCCCTCCAAAGATGTTTGTTGTGACATTCAGGAGACAATATTTCTTTCTTTTTTATGGCTAAGTAATATTCCAGCGTGTGTGTGTGTGTGTGTGTGTGTGTGTGTGTGTACACGTATACACACACCACATCTTTTTCTTTTTGCCACACCATGCACGGGATCTTAGTTCCCTGACCAGGGATCGAATCCATGCCCCCTACAGTGGAAGCGCGGAGTCTTAACCACTGGACCGCCAGGGAAGTCCCTATACCACATCTTCTTAAGCCAGTCATCTGTTGATGGGCACTTGGGTTGCTTTCATGTCTTGGCTATTATAAGTAAAACACCTGAAACTAACACAATATTGTAAGTCAACTATACTTCAATAAAAAAAATTTAGGACACCCAAGTGTCAGTCAGTAGGAGAGTCATTAAATAAATTGCTATGTCCATACAATGTATATAACATAACTATTAAGGTACAAAACAAAACAAAAATAATAAGACAGATCTATATATCTAAAATAGTGCTAGGTGAAAAAAAGTGGTAAAGAGCAGTGTATATCATATGATCCCATTTTTGTAAAAGAATAGTTTGTGATGATATGTCAGTACATACGTAGAAAAAATC